CCGCGTGCGGAACAGCAAACCGAGCGCCTTCCTTGCATGCGCATCCGCTTTGTGGTAGCGACCTTAAGGAGCAGTCGAGACAAAACCGGACACCGATGTGAAGCCAACTTGGAGAGGACGCGAGACCCCGGGCTGCAGCGCTGATCTGGATGGAGGTCCTGAACGTTCGCCTCGGTGTGAACGCTTCGCCCTTGCAGCGGAGGAGAGCAGCGTTGCGTGGAGCAACCGCTGGCCCCGCGCTTGGCCAGACGCGCCGTCCTCTCCAAGACGGGCTTCACAGCGGTGCGAGCACTGTCCCTCCTTGGCCCCTGACCTTTCTAGGATGTGAATGGTAAAAATGTGAATATTTGTTGTTTACTTCATTAGGCATAACTCATAATGATGTGTTTATATGAAGAATATCACAGACTGAAGCAAAACCGTATGCAATTGGTTTACTTTATTATAAACTGTATATGATGTACAAACTAATAAAAACTTAAATGACGACAGTCTCACTGTTGTTCTTGGACAGGCCGATAAACAAGATATTCCAGCTGTGCATTTCGGTGCTGGACGGGGCCTGGAGCTTTGGGATGGGGGTCGGGGGGGTCGGGGTGCTCCCGTGCTCCCACAGGAGCTCTCCTGGGCGGGCAGGCGCTGGGAAATCCGTCTTTAACCTCTGATGGACCAAACCCCGTGAGATTTGTTAGGAAAGGCCCAAGCTAGGCACCGGGCCTTTGCCCCTCTGCCGGTGCGGAAGCCAACAAGGGTGGCTCTGCTGAAGGTAAGGGAGGGCGACAGGCGCTGTGGGGGCACATAAATGTCATTTTTTTATGTAATAATGAGAATTTATTGTCACCCATCTCTTTCAAACAGCAGGCCGTACTTTGCTGTGGCGGTAACTTGCAGAGCCTTTCCCAGCCGAACCCCAGGGCCCTCCGTGCTTTTGCTGTAAGCGTTCGGAGCAGAAACGCTTCTTGCAGGGGCAGCGCGGGGCTCCCCAGGCAGCGGTTTGAGCGCGCGACGGGCGAGCTGCGCCCACACGACAGCTCCTTCGCAGGTACGAGCCCAGCACGCGCTCGTCAAACCCGGTAAGTATTTACATCGTTAATACGGGATTAATTGCACTGCGCGGGTCACCGAACACCGAGCCGTAGCGTGCGTTGAAGCCGTTGCCCTGACGTGAGTCTGTTAGCTGAGCTTTGTGTTACCGTGAAGCGGGGAGCGCCTGCAGGGCTGGCGGGGAGCAGGACCGTGAGCTGCAGTGGGCAGACCGGGGAGCAGCCGTGCTGCGGCGTGAGCTCCTTTCCCAGCCACTGGTTTAGGCTGGAGCAGACGTAAGTTACGCGGTTACGGTACCTCCACGTACTTCCTAAACTACAGTGTTACTGCCATCCTAACCTTAACGTTCAAGGGCATTAGAGAAAAGTAGTAAAATCTTGCATGAAGTACAGGTCTCTACTTCAGACACGATTTTAGTTTCCGTAAGATGGAAAAGACGTTAGTTCATCTCTTCCACTCCCTGCCAAGGCAGGATTGTTCCCTACGGGACAGGGACACCGGCCAGTGCTTGGTCCAGCCCGCTCTGACGTGAAGTGAAACGACTGGAGCCATGCCATGGGAGCTGAATCCCTCTCCTGCTGTTCCGCTTCTCTCCCTTTTGAAGTCCATGATGGTTCTTCAAGGCATCAGCGTGGGTTCCTTCTGTCCGCTCGCGAGCGGGTCTCGTCCCTGCAGCCGCGGCAGCCTGCACGTGCAGACAGCGCGTGCAGACAGCGCACAGGAACGGGGCAGAGCCCGGCCGGCCGCAGGGCCGAGCTCTGGTCCGGGCTCTTGGTGCTGCCGCTGCCCTCTGCTCGTTCTCTTCTTTCGGGCCGACCTGCTCCTAACTGCCCTGCTCGACAGAAGGGATCCAGAGCTGGGTGTTGCCGGTTTGGACCGGTCATTCAGCTCCCGGCATGACTGGTGCCAGTCCCTCGGGACATGGTGCGGTTCACTTCACGTGGCTTCAGACCAGTTCTGCGCAGGCTTTGGTCTGCCACTGCTCGTGGTACCGAGACGTGGAGCTCTAACGATTGTGGTTCGTAGGGAAGGTGTAAAAGATCATAGGAGATCTTCCTCCAAGGAAGAAAACAAGCAGACCACCACGGCTGGCTGCCACCAAAACCCTTCCTTTAAAATACCCTCAGCAGCACTGCAGTTCCTGATGCCGTTAGGTGACAGTTTTCCCTGGTCAGCCAGGAGCTGCTTGTTTTCTTCTCTGTTCTGAGGCCAATAAACTCCCCCCCAGAGAGGCCGCACACTGGGGCTGGCAAAAGGGCGTACTTTAGTAAAGGTAGAATTATTTCTCTTTACACTTTTAAAGGTTACAGGAGTTACTTGCCTTTTAAAAACAAAGAAGCTACCCTGCCCGTGCTCCTAGATGATGGTGCAGGAACTAAAAGCAGAGCCCCGTTTGTTGGTGCTCTGCGTTGGCACAAGTTTTCCTTTTCCATAGTAGCCTGAGAATATCGCCTTCACATCGATCTTTTTAGAAAGGATGAGCATCCACATACCGTTATCAAAATACAGCAGTTTCCCTCCTCCAATTAACCCCACTTCATCCCCTTTGTTCCCTGCCTTCTCCAGCTTCACAAACTCCAGCAGATCGAGCCCCGTCTGGACTGCCTCGACGCCGTTGGCACAGCCGAGGGTGATGTGAGCCCGGCTGCCCTTCGGGAGGCTGTCGGCGGGCAGGAGCTTGTCGGCGTCCCCGGGCCAGAGCAGCAGCTGCTGTTCGCTCAGCTCCACGCGAGCGCCCACAGTTTTTGTTGTGATGAACAGAGCGGAGATGGACAGGGTGAAGCCTTTGCCGTAGGAAGCCTTCACAGCCTGGGAGAAGAGGGAGACAAGGCCAGGGCACAGCTGTAACGGGCTGTGGAGTGGGGGTCTACAGCCCCGTGCCTGGCTTCGTTGTCCGCGAGCTCGGGGGCTTGGCTGAGCGCGGTGGCTCTGGCTTTGACATTTGAAATGCTGTGTGCAATGGGAGCATCACGGCCTGAGGTTCTGGCTCCGTGAATTCGGAGCTGGTTACATCTTTTTACTTCACAGATTCCAATACTTAACTTGGGCTTATCTGTTTTGAAATAGTTTAGCTGGAAGTGTAAATACCTTCACTCGCTGTCACTCCAATCAAGCTATGGGAGATGATGCTGCAAGTCGGGGGAGATGGGGGCAGGAGGATTTTGTTTGCAAACAGGGAAGAGTCACCATCTCTCCCACAATTACGGCTTTCCTACTGCCCAGTTACAGTCCCTGCAGTTCCCCTCTGGACCCCAGCCCACCCCAGCCCCCCCGGCTCAGGGATCCGCGCTGGGGAGCGAGGCGGGGGGCCCGGGAGGAGCAGGAGCCCTGGTACTCACCTCTTGCTGTGCGTATTCCTCGGCTCCAGCTGCCTTCCCAAAGTCGGTGTATTTTGTGGTGCAGTGTAGGACCCCGGGCGGCCTCTTCACGAAGTAGCTGGTGAGATCGACTTTGATTTTGGGATCTTCAATAGCAGAAGCGACTGCAAATACAGGTAAACAACATCGGTATCAAAACACGGCCCCGGTGTCACTCCAGAGCCTCAGCTCAGCTTTCTTCTCCGAGCCGTCCCTCGCGTTTCACCTCTCTGACTGCTGAGCAGGACTAGAGATGGGCAAAAGCAGACCCCCTCCCTCCACCTGAGTGACAGGGGACGTCACCAGAAGCTTCTGCGCGTCGCCGTGGCTCGTCTTAGCCGCGATGGTGTACAAGTCCTGCACGGGACAGGAGTTTCTCTCTGACCCATTGCAGCAGGCAGGGGCTGTAACGCTGCTGCCAGCCCAGCCCGGCTCCCTGCAGCGCCCCAGACTTCTGGGGAAAAACGGTTTCATTTATTTTTACTTACAACAGCAATTTTGTCAACTATGGGAAACGGGTTAGTAGCTTTAAAGGGTTTCTCTTGTTGCTAACTTTAACTAGAAATTCACTTCAGAAGCTGAGCGGGCTTGTTCCACTTGCTGAGTGTTAGCATTTCAGCAACAGAGAGAGAACTTGGTGAGATACTTCCATACATACAGTATTTACTCTCCTTTTTGAAGGCTTTGAGACTTCCAAGCTCATCTAAGAAGGCCTGGCCAGCCTTCCTCAGGATCTCTGAGCTTCTTTTGCTTAAAAACCACCCAAAATACATGGGCAGGAACTCCTTCTCCAAGCTCGGCTTCATCTTCTTCAGCTCCTCCGCCGACAGTTTCCACTGATTCTTCTCCTTCAGCTGCGAGCAATCCATTCGCCACTGGGTTTTGGGCTCGGCAAAGACGACTTTGTACCGGTATTTGTCAGCAATGTCAAAGAGCTGGTCCAGGCGTTCCCGCTCATGGTGAGTGTCATCCAAAACGATAACGCTGATGTCTCGTTTGCAATAGTCAACTAGATCCTCGTCCATCTTTGAGTACTCTTCGGGAATGGTGCTTCTTATGGACGGGGTGATTTTATAGCTATCAGCAGAGATGACCTTGCAGGCGTCTTTATACCGGTCTTGAATAGCCTGGGCAAGAGTGGACTTCCCGCTGCCGGGCAGGCCTCGTAAAATAAAAAAGGTTTTGGATTCTTTGACTGTGGAGATGGTACCTTCATCATCAAGGAACGGGAACTGCAAGTTTTCGGGTCTGTCTTTTGCTGATTGAGTAGACATTTTTCTGAATATTTTAGGCAGGAATGTGTGACTCTTCTTTGAGAAGCCTCTGTTCTGAAATGCAAGAAGAAAATAATTTTCAGCCTGCCAGCCCCGAGAGCCCGCGTGCTGCCCCTGCGGAAGCGCTCGAGAACCCTCGCTGGGAGGAGGGGGAGCACCTCGGCCCCCGCGTCCCCGCTCAGCTTAGAGCCCCTCTCGCTGCTCCAGCGGCCGGGACCTCGGCCCTGTCCCACCCCAGCACCGTCCCTCCGACCTGAGGAGCTGAGGCTCCGGCTCGGCCTGGGCAGCGGCCGTCCTGCTGACCGGGAAGGGGAAGCTTCGCCCGTCACGTGGCAGCAGCTGCATTTCCGCAGGCACCGCCGGCTCCTCGCAGCCCGGACGGAGCACAGCGAGCGTCAAATTTACTGCTGGATGCTTCACTGAACACTTGCGGCTCCTCGATGACAGGGGTGCGGCGCGCTGTGGGGAGCACCGCCAAAAACGGGAAACGAAACTCCCCGGAGGCTGTGACAGCTGCTGCCATCTCC